TTTTTATTTTGCCTCTGCTGTGAAGTCCTGGGGTTTCTGCGACTCTCCCACTAGCTACAGTGACACCTGCTGTCAGACTTCAGAATGACTGCCCTGCACTGTAGCTTTCTGTGCTTTTCCTATGAACCTGCACACTGAAGCCAACGTGAGACGAGTTGATTTGCCTTGCTCTGGTTTGCAAGCTCATGATCAGTAATGGCCTCGAGAGAGGGCTCTAAGCTGACAGTAGGAAAAACCATCAGATATACAAATGCCCTTCATTTGCAATATCCTGAGCTCAGTAAACACTAGAGAGCACACACCTAAGTAAACAAGCTGCAGGTGGGGCCCAGGTTGAGCGGCCTCTCTCCTCTATTAAAGTACTAAATAAGGAATCAAAGAAGATGTTCAGAGAATAACATTTTAACCCATATTTTAAAGAGAATTTGTGGTATTAGCTGGATGAAACCTAAACTCCAAGGCTTTAATCCAGCTGTGGGCCTTTGTTTCCAATTATCATAAACCTCCAGAGGACAGAAATGGGTTCCTTTCAGGGAGGCTGCCGTGCGAATGTAGGAGGAAACTACCCTTGTCCCCTCTGTTGTATGGTGTCAGAGAGCATTTCTCTCTCCACCACTTTAAATCTACACCGTTAGCCCTGGCCGGTTTGCTCGGTGGTTAGTGTCAGCCTGTGGACTGAAGGGGCCTGGGTTCAATTCCTGTCAAGGGCACACACCTCAGTTGCAGGCTCGATCCCTGGCTCCGGTCAGGATGCGTGTGGGAGGCAACCAACCCGTGTGTCTCTCACATCTATGTTTCTCTCTCTGTCTCTATCCCTCCTTTTCACTCTCTAAAAATCAATGGAAAAAGTATCCTTGGGTGAGGATTTACAAAAAAATAAAAATAAAAAATCTATGCTGTGAGTTGCTGGCATGGATAGACTCCTGAAACAGTTCTCCATTTAACTCCCCATAAACATTATAAAGAAGCATTTCTTTTTTCCCCCTAAAAGATTATATGATGTCAATGATTTCTCTTTGCTTAGAAACGAACAAACCACCTATAGCCAAGATAACTGGGAATGTGGTGATAACCTTGCCCACAGACACAGCCGAGCTGGATGGCTCCAAGTCCTCAGATGACAAGGGAATAGTCAGCTACCTCTGGACTCGAGATGAGGGGAGCCCAGCAGCAGGGGTAAGTGTGCCAGGGGCTGGAGAGCAACACATGTTCCAAGGGGTGAGATGGGAGAGGAGCTGAGCCAGATAGTCTACTGTTTTAACCAAGTGGTTCCTTATATCAACCCTGATTGCTCTCTGAAATCCAGGGAGGTTAAATGACTTGCCTAGGGTCACTCTGCAAGCTAGCGTGGCACAGGGTGAGGTTCTCTTCCCTAACCTGAGCAGCCATGGGCTGCAGTGCTATTACAGAGCAGAAGCTGCCAGAGGTGCAGTCTAGCTCAGAGGGGGCTTAGTGGTGACAGAGCAGCAATGGAGTCCACAGAAGGAGTTTGTTTTGTTTTGCAAACATAGCCATGTTATTCAACCCCACAGGAGGTGTTAAATCACTCTGACCACCACCCTATCCTCTTTCTTTCCAACCTGGTCGAGGGAACCTACACATTTCATCTGAAAGTGACTGATGCGAAGGGTGAGAGTAACACAGACCAGACCACTGTGGAGGTGAAACCTGGTGAGTTCATTTAGTGATGAGACTGAGTGGAATTGCTGGATAAGCCAAGCAGGGCCTCCATCCTGAGACACCTTCTCCCCAGCATGGACAGAGCCAGATGTTTAAAAAAATCTAGAAATCCCAAGCTGAAAAATCCTTAGGGTCTGTCTGTTCCAACATTACCTCTCCTACCCACACAGGAATATGGACCTCCTCCTACTCATCTCAGATGGAGAAACAGAAACTCAGGGTGGTTGTGTCAGAGCCAGGCCTTTGTGCCCAAGTCCAGCACTTCCTGCTCTAATGTGACTGATGGGAGAGGGTACCCTGGGGATCTGAGCACAGGAATAACTTGAGTCATGATGTCTCATCAACACCCAAATGCAGAAAACATTTATTTTTATAAGCTGAGCCTCGGGCTTTTTCTGACAATCCAGGGAAGGTAAAGTAACTGGTGTCCTTTACATTTTTCAGGTTTGCAGAAATAAAATTTCTTTCTTAAATAGAACCATGTTTTTATTTTGCTTTGAGGCTAATTTGGTTTTAGAGAGGAAGTGAGTGTGGAGTAGGGTAGAGCTTGATAAATTTCTGAGCATCTGATGAGGAGGGATTAACTTTAAACCCGCTCTTTATTATCTAGGCCAAACCTGTGTATCGGAATCTTAAATGGGAAGGATCTTGGCAGGTCTTCCAGTCCTTGTCCCATCTCTCTGAAGGACGACAGCCAAGGCACTATAAAGTCTCTTCTGTGGTCCTAGCTGGTTTGACTCAGTGGATAGAGCATTGGCCTAGGGAACAAAGGGTCCCGGGTTCAATTCTGGTTGGGGGCACATATCTCGGTTGCAGTCTCCTCCCTGGCCAGGGCCCTGGTCAGGGCACAAGCAATAGGCAACCAGTCAATGTGTTTCTCTTACATTGATGTTTCTCTCTGTCTTTCCCTCTCTGCTCCAATCTCTTTAAAAGATCAGTGGAAAAATATCCTCGGGTGAGGATTAAAACAAACAAAAAATCTCTTCTGTATTTAAAATCAGATCACATTGTCAACTAATTGTGTAAATTATACATCAGAACAGGCAAATGTTGCATTCAAGTGTGTGAATAAAGTATTCTGAATAATCACTCAACTTCCAAGTGTAGAACAGTCTTTAGGACATAATCGAAAGGAAAGCACAATGGTTTCCCAGTTCTCAGTTGTAAAAACACCAAGTAGCTGTGTGAGGTAGCTCTAAGGAAATCCTTGATTCTGGGATCCTTGTGCCTGATTTCTTTTGTGTTGACTGTTTTCAAACCTACAGGGCAGATGCATTGCCATTATTGATAAGAAGGTTGAGATGGGCATTTTCCCTCTCATTGTTGTAGACAAGTCCCTGAAAATCAGATGTGGATCAGGAGAGGTTGCTAGATAAGCCTACCTGCCCTGAAGAGTTCAGCAAAGCCAGTTGAGGAGAGGCTTTCAAAACAAGTGTTTCTCTCTCTCTCCCACTCCCTTCACTAAACCCTGTTGCCTCCCTGATCCCCCCAGCACCACATGGTGGTAATTCTCAGGTGGACATAGGGACCAAGAGTCCTTTCGAAGCTCCAACACCATTTCTGAACACTCTCATTCCTTCCTCTCCTGTGCCAAAGCACATACATGCACAGTGGTGGGTCTGTGTTACCTCTCCTGCTTCTAAAGCCATCACTGATCCACATGCTTTCCAGATCCCAGGAAAAACAACCTGGTGGAGATCATCTTGGATGTCAACGTCAGTCAGCTGACTGAGAGGCTGAAGGGGATGTTCATCCGCCAGATTGGGGTCCTCCTGGGGGTGCTGGATTCCGACATCATTGTGCAAAAGATTCAGCCGTACACGGAACAGAGGTAGCTGGGCAATGAATGGGGGGAGAAAAGAAAGACCAACGCCTCCTCCCTCCCCTTGGGCTTTGTGACTGAGCTGAGAGATAGTGTGGGTAGATAGAGAAGAGTGGGCTCTCTGACCAGGAACCACTCATGGTGTCCATTTCCTTAATGAGCTCCTCTCTTCTGATATGTGTCACATGCTCTGTGCTAGACACTGCTGCAGGGTGCCAGGGCACCAGGTCAGAAGAGGTCCGTTATGTTTGAAGGCCATTCTAGTAGGGGAAATAAGTAAACATCAGTACAGAGTGGGTTTGACAGAATGTGTGGTATCGTGGAGGCACAGAGGCAAGGGTAACTAATTCTTCTGGAGGTTGGGGTAGGGGGTAGTCCAAAGATTTTTCCAGAAGTAAAACTTGCATTGGTCAAGCTTAGGGAAATCAGGAGGGAATTCAGAATGGGGAAACAGCATGAGCTGTGGTCCTATGGTGTGAAAGCACAACAATCCCTCTGGAAGAAATCACAGGTTCAGAGAGCTTACTGGGCCCCAGCATGTGGTGGAAGAGAAGACTGCTGTGTAGACTGAGAATAGTCATATGCAAGTCAAGAAGTTTAAGTTTTGGGCTGGAGAACTCCGATTAGTTTGTTTTATGTACCTGAAGTTTTTGTTTTGTTATTAAAGCAAAGAGATTGGTTGTTGTTTTATAAGGGAGTTCAGTAGTGTGAAGGCTAGACTGAAATACAGAGGCCAAAGACTAGGAGACCAATCAGGAAGCTTTGGAGTAGTCTAGTAAAAAGGTAATAAAACCTGAATTAAGGTAGTTGCAATGGAAGCAGCAGAAGAGAAGAAACTAAAAAGAAACTAAGGGGTAAATCAACAGGACTTGGGAGACCCTGTGAGGTATCAAACATGAGGCTTTGGGTTTGGATGCCTGAATAGATGTGAATGCCAGTAATTGAGATCAGGGATACAGAAAATCAGTTTCAAAGAAAAGATACTAAGTTCAGTTTTGACTGTTTAACTTGGTGTGTCTTATGGGTTGCATGGGGAGATGTTTCATCAGATGGTAGCAAGTATAGGCAGGAACTTGGGTGGAGGAATAGCCAGAGAGAGGGAGTCTGCATCTGAGCAGGAGTCAAAGCCATGAGGACAGATGAGACACAGGGTGAGTGTCAAGAGGGCTGAGGACAGAGCTCAGGAGAACCCATATTTAACGAGGAAACAGAAAGAAGAGGCAGCAAAGGAAAGTAAGAAATAGCAGTCAGAGGGGTGGGAGGAAAACCTGGTCTGCTGTAAGTTAAGAAGGGACGGGGAGGGGGCTGCCAAAGGATTCAGATGCTTACAGAGACGCAGGTGTGGTAAGAACACATTTTACTCAGCTGTTGGGGGACAGAGGACGAATTCATTCTATGGTTTGGGATACAGAGATGGGAAGTATAACAACTCTTTGAAGAGGTTGGTGCTGAAAATAACATGAGGGATCAGATCAAAAGAACACCTTTAAAGACAGGAAATACTTGATCATTTTTACAGGCTGAGGTGCAGGTGCAGGGAAAGGAGACGGTGACGTTTAGAGGGTTGTAAAGGGACGTAGGTCTTGGGGACTGGCCCCCATCGAGCAGGAACACCACTGTGGAGATAGAGGGAAGGAGGGAAAATGTGCTATTAGGGTGAATTTATAGGTAGAGAGGATGAGGCTTGAGACCATAGGTGCCAACACCGTGTGTGTCTTCTCTGAAACTGGAGACAAGGCCTGCTGCTTGAGGAGGTGGGAATGAGATGGGCAGCATGAGGAAAGTGCTAAAGGTTGGGGGTAGCGGCTCCAGGAATGGGTGCTGGCATGAGCAATGTTGGTGTCTCAGCCAAGGTGAGAGACAGGTGAGAGCAGTGGTTCCCAGAATCACCTGGAGCTTTGATGAACATCATTACCCGAGCCTCACCCACAGATGATTTCACTTGGTCTAGAGCAGTGTTTGCCAGCCGGTGGTCCGTGAGGTCCGAAAGGTTGGCCATTGCTAGTCCAGAGCAGTGGTTCCCAGCGTGGGTGGGGCACACGCCCCACAGGGGGGCAATTTGACTTTTAAGGGAGACAATTTGAGAATGAGTTATTAACAGTGAATTTTTTGCATTTCTTATGGTTTCAGGGGCCTCATATACAGTATATAAATATATATTGTGACATATTTATGCATTTCACTTCTATTATATAATAGTTTTGAAACTTTATTTGCTATTTTTTCATATCACTTCATATTCTTAATGTTTTTAACAATTTCTTAGTGATTTCTTCCTCAGTACTTCAACTGTCCTTAAGGTTGAGAACCACTGCTGTACGTGAATAGGAGTTCACTTTTTGAATAAGAATTACATGCCACAGCGGGGGAGGGGGACATCAGGATTTTAGAGATGCTTAGGTGAGGCATAGCCAAAAAAGGTTGGGAACCACTGGTCTAGAGTGAGGTCTGGGCACCTAAAATCTAAAAGCTCCCCAGGTGAACCTAACATGCGGCCAGGGTTCACTGGGTCAGACAGCATAGTGATTTAGGACTTGGGTTGTCAGCTCTGCTCAGCAGTCTGGAAGCAGGCAGGGGTCGATCTAGCTGGTGGTGTCGGCTGGATACAGGCAGTGGAAACGAAAGTGCTGGTCAGAGCACTGTGGAAGGGCTTGCTCGCAGACTTGCTGCCCCCGCATCAGGTGTGAGGGAAGAGAGGAGCTGGGTTTCTGTCTCGGGTTTGGTTGGCTTAGTGGAGGAATGTTGGAGGGATTGGATACTGGGCGGGAGATAGTTAATATAGTGGGAAAGTGCACGGTCCTTCCATCAGACAGGTTACCTCCCCTCTCCAAACCTCTTCTAGCAGTAAAAATGCTCATACCCATTTTATAGGATTGTTATTGAGGATCCAATAAAGTAATGTTTGCGTAGTCCCTAATGCTCAGTAAGTGCCCAATTAATGGTTGTTAAAAGTTTATTTTGAGACATGTTGGATTCGAGGTGCCTGTGAATATCTAGGGCAGATATTCTAGCAGGAATTTAAAGATAAAGATTTGGTTACTCAGGAGAGATAGGGAGAGGAGTTAAAAGATTTGAGAGTTACTGGTATATAGACAGAAATTGAAACTACCCATGGTTTAGGTCACTGTAAGAAAATGAGAAAAGGACCACAGATCTTTTATGGTAAAGATTTGTTTCGTGATTCTAGAATTTGTGTTACCCATTGTTAGCCTTCTTGTGCAGCAAGCTTTTAGAAAGACTTCTATGCCAGTGCTTCCCAAACTTTTATGTCATACCACACAGGAAATTAGGCCATTTACATGGCACTTTGGGGTAAACAGTTACACTGTAAGCAACTGGTCCCATCCAGCTGCACTGTGTGTGGAGGGCATCAGTATCTTAGGCACACCTATAAACCAGTGTGACCCACTGCTTGGGAAGGTTCGGTCTGTGAGACTAACACGAAGTGAAAAAGCAGGCTTCTAAAAATTGAGGCCAAGCCATAGGGAACAGATTTGATGCCACCCAGGTGTGAGTTCAAACATGGTCTGCCTTGGACAGAAATTGACAGTCAGAAAGCAAACAGATTCTGGGCCTGGAGTAACAGAATCTTGTTCCAGCCACACGATTGTGTAGTCTTGTTACTGTCGCAATAACGATCGTTTTGGCCTGTGGATAATTATTGGATGCCGTCTAATAATTTACATTTTACAAAGCATTGTGGCTTGTCATACAAGTAACACAGGCACAAATCCAACAGCACCACAGTCTTAGCTGTTAAAAGGCTGACAGCAGGGATGTGCTCATACCAAATCCCCATCTTCCTGGCTCCAGTTACCTGTTTGGTATGGGTCTTGTTAGCTGGGACAGCTGAGGGCATTTCTAAAAGCATAGGCTTTGGGAACAGACATGTCAGGGTTGGTATCTGGCTCTGCTGGAATTAACTGTGTGACCTTGGGCAAGTTACTTAACCCCTCTGAGCTCCAGTGTTGTCCTTTGTAAAATGGAGCTGACACCGATCAGGCCTTTCTCCCTTGCTGGCCTTAGAGGATGCATATAATACTTAGCAGAGGTGCTTGGCAAATGGTAGCTACTGCTGCTGTTGTTGACAGCTTCAGCTTATTCATATATACTGTTGCCTGTCTCTGCAGCACCAAGATGGTATTTTTTGTTCAAAATGAGCCTCCGCACCAGATCTTCAAAGGCCATGAGGTGGCAGCGAAGCTCAAGAATGAGCTGCGGAAACAAAAGGCAGACTTTCTAGTATTCAGAGCCCTGGAAGTCTACACTGTCAGTGAGTAATTCTGGGGTGTTGGGAACAAGAGCCTACCCAGCGCCCCTCTCACGTGTCAGCCCTCACCGTCCTCAGGCCGCATCCCCGTTCTCCAGGAACATGGGGATAATTTCTTTCCTCCACTACTGTTACCGTGAGGGTCCGGTTCATAGAGGTTCTTAACCAGGATCTGTGGGCCCGAGATAGTGTTCAGAGGGCTGTACATTTCGGGAAAAACTTACATCTTTCTTTTCATTAACCTCTAACTGATATTTATTATTTCCCTCAGTTATGAAAGTAGGCAACAAACTACACTTAATAGAACCCATGACTTTGAGGCAATAGCAATCAGAGGTAATTTCTATCACACATGATGACATATTTTTACTCATCACTATTTCAAAGTTATCAGTTGTTAGACTCACTTCTAGATCTTGCTACTTCATTTTTAAATAAAAGCACATATTATTTTTAAAAATTATATTTTTAGATATTTTAAAAACACATTCAATGTATTGCTTTCCTTTATAATACTGTGCATTATATTTTGCCAATTAAATTATTCAGAGAAGGGGATCTGCTGGACATGGAATATTAAGAACTGATGATATACAGAAACAAGTAAAAACAATCTGGAACTGCCCTGGCCTGTGTGGCTCAATTGGTTGGTGGTGGGTTCCATTTCTGGTCAGGGTATAAACCCAGATTGGGAGTTCAATGTCCGGTTGGGGCGAGTGTAGGAGGCAACCGATTGATGTTTCTCTCTCACATCAACCTCTCTCCCTCCTTCCTGCCTCCCTCCCTCTCTAAAAAAATAAAAAACAGTTTGGAACCATGTTCCAGTGGCCTTTCTAACTGCTCCAGTTGTATCCAACCATGATGATAATTACGGGCAGTGTGCCCAAGCTGTAGGAGCTCTTGGAGCAGGTCTTCAAGAAACTCTCCCAGGCCTCTGAGTGGGGGTGCCTTCCTGCTTCCACAGGCACTGGAAGCTGCTGTCTCCCCAGCTCTGACTCCTGTTGTCTGCTCTCCCTTTTTTGCTACTTTCAGCATGCCAGCTGAACTGTTCTGACCATGGCCACTGTGATTCCTTTACCAAACGCTGCATCTGTGACCCTTTCTGGATGGAGAATTTCATCAAGGTGCAGCTGAGGGATGGAGACAGCAACTGTGGTGAGTTTTCTGCTTGGCATTGTGCCAGCTGGTTTAGCACTGACTGGTTCTGAGTTGTGAGTGGGTGGGTCTTGATGTTTCTGAGGCAGATGAGCAAGCGAGAACTTTGTGTATTTTCTGTTTGCAGAGGATTTTTACTTCTTTCCTCTGCACTTGCTCAAGGTTAGAGGAAAGCTCTGAAGCAGTTGTGTAAGAACCAAGCTGAAATCACACCAACTGCTCACTGCAATTGCTCACTGTAGCCTACATTCAACCAGCTGCAAGGCCTCTTTCTGCTCCCCCGTCCCTCCGTTAAAGCTCCTTACAGCTGCCCCACTGTCCCAGGGTCTCAGAGAAGAGACTGGAAAGTGGGACAGTTCTGAAGGTTTAAAACTTCAGCTGTCTTCAACTCTGATGTCTCACCTTCCCTGGAGAGCCCTGGGCCTTATCTACAGAGTGAAGCCATCTCTCGCTCAGGGGGTGCAGCCCAGACCTCCCTCTAGCCTCTCTCTCTACAACCCTGACCATTTTGTTTTTCTTGGCAGAGTGGAGCGTGTTATATGTTATCATTGCCTGCTTTGTCATTGTCGTTGCCTTTGGAACCCTGTCCTGGACTGTGATCTGTTGTTGTAAGAGGTAAGTTGCATTATCCTTGGAAATTCATTCAGGCTTCTAGTCATTGTAGTCACTCATCAGAGAGGTATCTCGCCCTTTCCACATGGAAGGCACCGAGTTCTGGGCTCCTCCCTTCCTGTCAGTGTTACAGTGCTCTGGCCCACCAAGGCCTGCGCTGAGGGCAGAAGCACATTCTTCAGCCAGTGCTGTCAGCGCAGTGATAGGCAAGGGTAGCTAGGGTGGGAGTGGGAGGGCCAGGGTATGGAACGCGATCACATCTCTAGGGTGTATGTCTTTTAACACTCCATCCCTCAGCCCCACGACCTTAGATCATTTTTTCAGCCTTCCTCTCTCATTGGGATTCACATGTATACAAGTTTTCACGTAGTTATAGACTTAGGTTAGTCATGGTTAAGGGTAACAGGTTTTTTCATTTGGTCTTCCTATCTAGTCTTATAATACTTAATACTAATGCTTGTTATGTTTTCATTAATAATAAGTATGATTTCTACATTTACTGTGTGTCAAGCACCATGATAAATTTTATAGATAATATCTGTTTTAATGCGCATGGCAACCTTTCCTCGTCTACAGACAGGAAAATGACGTCGCCTGTCCATGGACACACAGTAAATAAGTGGCAGAGCTGAGATTCAACCTGCAATATAACCACACATAAGACAGAAAATTAAAAGAACTTTTAAAAATTCCCACCACCAAAAATAAATAAATAAAAATTCTCACCAGCCAAAGATGATCACAATTAACAACTTCCTTGGTTTAATGTTTTCCTCTCTACCCACACCCCCTCAAGCATACAGTTTTCATTTTCTTTAGATTTTTAACCAATCTGCCCTCAGTACCATTGTGGACTAGTGGGTCCACACTAAGATATCCATGTCTCCCTTGCCCTTTCCTGGAATTGGTGAGGATTATTTGAACGAATTACAGTTGCCAACTTTCATGGCTGAAAAGCAGGAGAAACAGCTCTCCCACTAGCATTTGCATGGCTGGCACCCTGTGGGGTCTACCTGAACCTCACACACAGCCTCCTTCCTAAGCAGAGAAGGGGATTGTATTTTTCAGGCAAAAAGGAAAACCCAAGAGAAAAAGCAAGTACAAAATCCTAGATGCTACGGATCAGGAAAGCCTGGAGCTGAAGCCAACCTCCCGAGCAGGTAGTAGCCCTGGGGCTGGGGCGTCTAGTTTTGTGCACTCACCCTGTGAGGAGCCACTGTCACTAGACCCCACCTAAACCTGTCACTCACAGCTGTTTGTGCTGGAAAGCATTTTGTGTCCTGCCTGATGAAGGCCAAGGGTGGGCTTGGCCCTGTGCTGGCAGAAGCTGCCTGCTGGACCAGCTCTGTTGCCATGGCTCTCTCAGCAGTCCTTTCACTCTGCAGACCGGCAAGGCCTCCTGCTCTCCTCTGCCTGCTTATTCCCTGGAGCTTTGCTTTTCAAGCTGCCCTGTGTAGTCAGGCTCAGGGACCGTGGCCCTCCTTTTTGTGCAGACAACAGGGTGAGGCAGCGATGAGATTAAAGGCATGTCTGCCACCTGACCTCCTTTCAGCTTCTCTCCAGTGTTTACAGGTAGATCCACAGGCTCTGTCCTTGTCTTAGAGCCAGAGGAGGGCAGGTTCCCAGCTGGTTCCAAGGGTGGGGCTGGGAGAGTCGGGACTGTAGAGGGGGCCTCCCTTCCTCTCTGGTCTGTAATGGGTGGTTTCCATTCATCATGGATGCCGCAGGACAGGCAGCATCTGTATCTTACTCATCGGTGAACATGGATTTGAGACCACTGTGTACCAGACCCTGTGCCAGACACCACTTGTGTTATAGCAAACAAGACAAACCCGTAAATACACACAAAGGTGATAATGAAAGGTCTTTATAAAGATTAACAGTCAAGCTGAGCCCTGAGGGACGAGTAGAAGTTAGTCATGTAAAGACTGGGCAATAGCACTTCAGGCAGAGTAGTCGGTGAAGGTCATCTGCTGGAAGGAGCAGAGGACATTTGAGGAAGTGGAAGGAGGCGACATGATGAGCATGGGGCAAGTGGCATGAAGCTGGACAAGGAGTAGGGAACTTGCTGTAGGTTCCTTCTAAGAGCAATAGGGAGCCACAGATAGTTTTTAAGGGTGAATGGTGCAGTACGATTGACATTTTAAGAAGAGAAGTGTGGCTACTGTGTGAAGGAATTGGAGAGGGGCAAGAGTAAGTGAAAGGAGATTAACTAGAACGTCCTTATGGTAGAGATGATGGGACAGAGAGACAAATACACTTTGGGGGAGACTTAATGAGGTTCGTGGTATGTTGTCAGAGGGGTGTGAGAGAAAGGACGTAAAGGATAGTCCTCCCACCAAGCTGCTGCTTTGAGCACCTCTGGGTTGGGTGATGTTACTGCTCAAGATGAGAACGCCTGGAAAAAATGAAGAGTTTCAGGACAGTTATGGATTGGGATGAGGCCAGAAGATTAACAAGGACTTAACTCTGAAAAGATTTGTACGTCAGCCTAAGGAATTAAGCATTTATTTTGGTGTGATGAGAAGTGACATCTTCAAAGTGCAGGCTTTGGGAAAATTAGTCTAATGATATTTCATCGATTGAAGGGGAGAGACAGCAGGAAAGGCCAGGGTTGGCTTCTGACCTGAGACAGAGAATGATAGCACTGTTGACAGAATATGGACATCTAGTGCAATGATGGTTTGGGTGAGAGAAGATGAGTTAAATTGAAGTCAACAGGACAGTTAAGAGAAGTGTCAATATACAGGGATCTTCTATATGCTGGTGTCAGTCAGCACATCAGTGGGTCAGGTCCCTGTGGGGAGAATGTTGAGGGATGAGAGAAGAGCCCAGGGCTGAGCAGCTAAGGGTAGTCATCAAGAAGGGAGGAGGGGCATCATGAAAGAGTGGCCAACAGTGTTTGCTGCTGCAGGAAGACAATCGAGGAGGATGATAACACACAGTAGCTTCTGGTCACCTAAAAAGCTAGAGGGGGTGGTAAGAGATCAACCAAAGGAATTGTATGCAAAAAAAGAAAAGCTATAGTGGTGGTGGATGACAGCAGAAAGTGCAGGTTTTGTTTTTGGTTTTTTTTGGTTGGTAATATTCGCCCGAGGATATTTTCCCATTGCTTTTTAGGGAGAATGGAAGAGAGAGGGAAAGACAGAGAGAAACAATGATGTGAGAGAAATACATTGATTGGTTGCCTCCTGCATGAACCCCAACCAAGGAGGAGCCTGCAACCAAGGTATGTACTCGACCAGAATAGAACCTAGGACCCTTTGTTCTGCAGGCCGATGCTCTATCCACTGAGCATACTGGCTAGGGCAAAATTACAGGTTACTTAGGAAGTAGGTGGTGTAGAATTGGAGGCCCAGCTATTTGAAAGTCATTGTAGGAGCTGAGCAATGAAAAGTGGAGAAGCAGCAGGACAGGGCTTAGAAGGCAAAGTTGCCTCGGATGGGGTTCACAAGATGTAGATGGTACAGGTGCGGTTCCTGAGAAGGATGGAGGGAGTAGGGCAGAAAGGAGAGGGGTACAAATGGAACTACAACATCTCTTCTGAGGAAGGGAGGGAAAAGGTGGCTGACCAAACTAAATGCTGGGTTGAAAAGGTAAAATGGGAATGTGGATTGCAGTATTGCAGGCTTTTTGTGAAAGGGGAGGGTGGTGAGGAAGAGCCTGAGAGACCAGTGTGATCAATCCCATCTATGTAACTACGTTGAGACTAGGTAAGGCTCAGCAGGCCCTTCTCTTAAGGGCACTAACTAAGGGGGCGGTGAGAACACCCTTGGATTTGGGGTGGGTAACCAGGCCACGAGCCCTGGCTCTTGTTCTGGGCTCTGTGGATTAGCGGGAGCAGCCCAGAGCAGGCTCACTAGTAGGATGAGGGGATTGGGATTCGAGACTATATTGTATGAGGTATGGACTTGAAGTTCAGCTTGAAGAAGGGAATTAGTGGGGCATGTTGTGGAGGAAGACGTGTTGTATAGAAGTTTGCTGGGAGCCAGGGTAAGCCTGGGTGAGGGGTGACTGGAGACAGAACGGTCCCACCTGAGGGAACTCTTGGGGACAAAGACCGCCAGGTGGAGCATGGGGCATGCCCCCTCCGGAGATATGATTCACATTTAGCAGCTTTTCTTTTGGATTTTGTTATGCTATTCTATCAATTTAAAACAAAACAAAATATTTTATTGAAGTATATTAGGTTGAACCATGTGAAATTACTATTTAGCTTCTAAAAATGGCATTTTTATGGTTCAACAGTTTAATGGGTTTTCACAACTGAACAGGCACATGTAATCAGCTCCCAGAAGTGCCTCCTTTGTGCTTCTTTCCAGCCACTGCCCCCCATTACTTCTAATATCTTGGGAATTTATATAAATGAAATCAGTGTATTTGGCTCCTTTCACTCAACATTCTATGACATTCACCTATAATTAGGCAGAGCAATAGTTGGTTCTTATTGCTGTACTACAGGCCTGGTACACGAAATTTTGTGCACAGATAGGGTCCCTAGGCCTGGCTGGTGATCAGGGCCACTCTGTGAGGTGACCAGCAGGGCGACTGGTAGGGGGGCGGGGTGTTCCCCGCTGACACCTGCCTTGGCCAGCCTGGGGCCTGCAGGCAGATCCTGCATTGAGCATCTGCCCCCTGGAGGTCAGTGCACGTCATAGCTACCGGTCGTTCTGCTGTTTGGTCAATTTAAATATTAGGCTTTTATTATATAGGATAATTTCCAGTCTGAATATTTTTATTCGTTAGGCATATTGCTAATGGGCAATTGCTTTCTTTCTGTTTTTGGCTGTTAAGAGGAATGGCATTATAGATGTTCCTCTGCCATGTCCTCAGTGGACATATGTATGAGTTTCTGTTAGGTGTAGACCTAGGAATGGAATTGCTGAGTCATAGATGTCTGTTCAGCTCCCATTGATGTTACCAGTTTCCCAGCTTGTGCTGTGTAGTGAGTTAAGGCCACTCACTTCTTTAAGCAGAGCAGAAGCCCACAATGGGAGGACCCTGGGTAGTGCTATGTACTGTGGAGCCAGGAGCATTTGTCTCCCCTCAGGCTCCTGTCCTCTGCAGCTATGGACCGGAAGGGCTGTGGGGAAGAAGGGAAGCTTCGAGTGGGGACTGGTTGGAGAAAGCCCCCAGAGGGCACAGAGAGGCAGGGGTGAGTATTTCATCTACTGGGGCAAAGCAGGGGTATTGAGGACCTTGAATCTCACCTGGGCTTGGTTCTTATGTTGGCCAATCCCACCACACTGGAGAAGCCCAAGATGCGGAGGGTTCTTCTTTGGCCCTGCTGCTCTGCAGTCATGTCCCAGAACTGTACCCGAGATGGTCCCCAGATGCAGTCCGAGTCTGGCTGCCCTCAGCATTCACAGACTTCAGGCATGTCTGGCGAGGAAGGGGCACAATGGTTCTGAATCATCTTAGGACATTCAGTGTTTTCTGGGGATCTGAGTGGGACCCGGGGAGGAAAAGTGATTGTTGGATGATGAGGGTTCAGATACCTCATCTGACTACTCACCTTTTTAAGAAAGGGGATAGGTTAGCTCTTGGCAGTCCAGGCACTGCCAAGCCGGATTCTCGCTGTTGGAAAAAAGTCCCATTTCTAATCCTGCTGTGCTATCTCAGCCTACCTTTTGCTTTCTCTGGAATATTAGCTGTACCAGTCAGAGCCCAAGCCGTCTTGCTGTTGGACAGGATCTGCCCTAAAGCCATTGCCAGACCACATTGTACAGTGTGGCCTCTCTGCAGCCACAGGGACAGTAGTAAAGGTGACCTCCCCCATGGCTTGGAGAATCTCAGACATCTTTTCTGACCTCAAGTGCTTCTCATGGGCCCTTGTTTGCATACTCTGATGAACTGATCGCTAGGAAAACTGTCTCAGAGTCCCTATTTAGTCAGACTTTCCCATCAGGAGAGCCCTCCCAAGCCATGTGCCTGCTCTCCCACCTCCGGTCCCGCTCATGGAAGCCAGTGCGAACATCTCTGTAGAGTGAAGTCCAGGCTGACTCAGTGTCTGAAACTGGCAAGCACTCCATACCATGCTGAGCCAGCACACCGAGAAAGCGTTAGAGCTTGCATTTTTGTTTGTTGTGCTTTCCTGCCTCCCAAGAACTCCACCCTATTCATAAAGGGAGATAAAACATTGCACATTTATGAGAGAGAGAATATCATTGAGTGGCACTAACCAAAACTACTGGAGATAAACAATCAGCATTGGAACTGTTGGTCTCATTTACTCTGACTTCCCTTATAGGGCTGTTCCAGCTAGCCAGCACTGGGAGGACTCAGGAAGCCACCTCCTTCCCGTCTGCCCCTCCCAGCAGGGAGAGAGGACCATGACTCCCAGTCCCTCTGCTCTTCAGGCTGGGAGGAGGGTGTGGCTCAAGCTGGGGAAGGTTGGTGCTCCTGATGCTGGAGTCCCTTATCTCCCTTGCAGGCATCAAACAGAAAGGCCCAATGCTGAGCAGCAGCCTGATGCACTCTGAGTCGGAGCTGGACAGCGATGATGCCATCTTCACGTGGCCAGACAGAGAGAAGGGCAAACTCCTGCATGGTCAGAATGGCTCCGTGCCCAACGGACAGACCCCACTTAAGGCCAAGAGCCCACGGGAGGAGCTCTTATAGCCAGTCACCTGGTCTGTCTCCTCAGGGTAGGGGTTGGCAGTGCTGGGGTACAGAGCATTGCCAGGCTGGTTCTCAAACCTCCCATTTCAGTGGGCAGCTGTTCTGCCAGCATCTGCTGGTCAACTCCCCCCATATCATCCACAACCAGAGCTGCTGATACCTGGATCCAGAGACATTCTCCAGGAACTCTGAACAAAGCTGTGAATGAAGAGGTTTCCTCTTTAAACCCGTCTGGTAGTCTCCCCTCCCCCTCTTACCTCCCCTTCCCCCGACATATCCTCACCTCAGGGCCTCCTTTTTTGCAAACCCTTCCCCTGCTCTAAGGGTGGACACAGCCAGCTCCCTGTTGGCATTGTTGCACTCCCAGAGCACCTGCACAGGGAGGACTGGCTGTGCCCCCCACGCCTGGGTACAGAACCAAGCACTATCAGTCTACAAGAGCCTGCCCTACATTCTTCTCTTCTTTGGGATCACTGGGTCCAGAGGACGTGGCGCCCCCTTCTCCTCACCACAGATGCTGGGCTGGTGGTGCAGATACGGTGTCTGGCCCAAGGGTAAGAGAGCTGGCTGCAGTGTCAGAGCAGCGAGGCTGGACACAGACCGCCTCCCCATCTCCTGACCAGCGCTGGCTGAGCGCAGAGAGCCACAGCTGACGAATGTGATGGCATGGGAGTGCATGTGTGTGACTGCCCCATCGTGTTCTTGTGTCCCGCGTGTGTGTCTGTGTGTGCGCGTGTGTGTGTATTGGCTACTCACAAGGCAACCCTGACCTGGAAAGATTTTCAGCTCCTTGGAAGAGAGACTTCATACGATGTCTGGGTGTTGAGGAATGGGAGCTTTGGGTGGGGAGGGTGACTTTTTAAAAAGAAGCTTACAGTTTATACTACTGTCTGTTGTGAGATGATTAAACATGCTATTTAATTGTACCTGTGCCCGCTGACTCTCCTGCTGTGCTCCATCACTGACCTGTACCGTCCAGTCACCGGTGCATCCCTGAGAGGTGATGACCTCCAGTAGGGAAGTCATGGGACTGGCATCAACACTGTGGCCAATGGTGCTGGGGTTGTGTCTCAACAGCTGTCTGGCTGCTGGTGGAGGAGTGCATCCCTCCCAGCCCCTGCTGGCCAGCTGCCCTGGCTTTTAGGGAGGCAGCCCCCCCTTATCCCAGGGCCTAATGCCCAGGGTGTGGGGCCCTTCCTAGAACAGCTGGAAGGAACACCAAATAGAAGGCATCCTTGCATTTCTGGAACCCCATTAGGTACTGTGCACAGAGAGGAAACTTACCAGGAAGCAAAACTCAAAGGAAACTCCTAGGGCTGGAAGGCTGCAGCCTTGGCCTTCCTCCTTGGGGAGAGACTGATCCTTGTCCTTACAACTTCCCTTTGGCCCATCTGGTAAGTTGAAGGAGCTGAAGAGGTGGCCACATACACTGAGAGTTAATCTTTGAAAATGGGATGGAAAGAAGGTGCATGCAGTCGGGCCATCAGTCCCTGGAAAAAAGAGTTTCAGGAGCATCGAGGAGGCCCTTGACATTTGTGGAATCTGTGTTGATCGGTTTAAGGGGCCTATACATTCTTTCGTTATGCCCAAACCATGACTATAACCCCTTTCATCTACTTACCCCTCAGTTTGGGGGTGGGGTTGGTGGTGGCTACCTAGTTTCCAATACTTCCAGCATTGTGGCTGTGGCTGTCTACTGTTGTGCCTCCCGCTGGAAGGGGGTAAAGGGACTCTCAAGAATTGCTCAGGTTTGACATTGAAGGGTACTGATCAGGCTTTTTTTTTTTTTTTTTTATCTCATGCAAAGGACAGGTCTTGGCCAGTTTTCTATCCAATTCTCAGTGCAGATTCAAATCTGCCCTAAGTCTAACCTTTCCTCTCCCACCCCTTCTCACTTCTAAGCTAATCACATTCTGGCACCAAGAGCTGTGGGTCCTATGCTGACTGCCTATTAGAATCACCTGAGCACCTTTTAAAACACACTGATACCTGGAACCCACACACAGGAGGTTTTGACTTTTGAATATTTAGCTGAACTTTTATTAAGTCCTCCTATAATTTGTGAAGCCATACCAAGTCCTGGACTAGGGGGAAATAGCAAGTTGGGTTTGGTAGACAAAGAGGTAAAGTACCCAGAGACCCGGTACCTCTTAACCACTGCAGGGAGAGACCCCTGAAGTTGGGTGTGGCAGAGACCAACTGTTCACCAAACCAAGGTCCTTTCCCAAGACACACAGCTCATCTACATTTCCAGGCTTGTGCACAATATGGGCAGAAGAGATTTCCATCTTCAGCCCTGGCCCATTAAAGTTTTCTGTGACTCCCGCTCCCTTCCTCTATCTGCTGGCCAGAGCAGAGGCACAGTTGGGGAACAACCTTCCTGTGAACCACCATTTGGAAGAGAGCTGCCCTACAAGAATAGCCTTTGGATTGTTATGAGAGAAATAAAAATATATTAAAAACAAAAACTCATGTGAAGATTATGGGCCTAAACCTACCAGTTTGGCTCAGTGGATAGAGGGTTGGCCTGCGGACCCAAAGAGTCCCTGGTTTGATTCCAGTCAAGGGCACGTACGTTGGTTGCACGCTGCTCCTCACCCGGGCTCTGGTCGAGGTGCATGCAGGAGGCAACCAATTGATGTGTTTCTCTCACATCGATGTTTCTCTTTGTCTTTCCCTCTCTCTTCCACTCTCTATAAAAAGATCAATGGAAAAACATCCTCAGGTGAGGATTAACAAAAAAATAAAATAAAGACCAAAAATAATAAGATTATGGGTCTAGGCTTGCTTCTCTCACAGGTCTCCCTGGGCCCAAGTAACTTACTAGGGTTGACAATGATGCCTCAGCTCACGCTGCCACAACAGTCACTCGGGATTTATGCTGCCCTACACAGCATAGCAGTACTGACAGCCACTGCAGGCGGGGTAGAACCGTGAAATTACAAACCTGCCTCCATTGTCCCACACATCCCAACACAGCCTAGTAGAGGCAGTTGAGACACCCTTCCCTCCCCACCCACCCCACCAAAAAACACCCAGCAGTGACAGCAGCCATTAGTGAAAAGTAGGTAATTCTGGGAGCTCAGAAAATCAGTTCTCTGCCATCCACCATATTCCTGTGGGTGCCCCTTAACTCACATAGGTACATGGCATTTTTCTTAACAAAAGCACTGCTGCTCTATTGTGATTATAGAGGCTCGAATACTTCAGGTAAGAAAACAAAAACTTGTGCTATACCACTATCTAGTTAAAAATAAAGTG